GCAAGTGGTCCTTTATTATGCCTCGGACGTTAGTGGCAGGGGCCTCAGAGTGCTAGCAAGGGCCTCGGGATAATAGTGAGGGCCTCGGAACCCACTGCTGAAGCTAGAGAATCGTAACCTAATTTGATCAAGCTGGTCCCACCGCCGACACGTGGCGCCACATGTTGATTCTGTTCATTGACCCGTAACAATAGCTATAGTTATTCGCAATTTATAGATAAAAATCCCCACTCCACGCCCTCAGTTTCAAATTACTGACCGATAATCATCCAACTAAAAAATAAACTGCGTTTGGTACGGATTAAAATCAGATTTTTAGTAAATTTTGATAAAAATCGATGAAATATGTGGTTGAAAAGTTGTGGATTTTATGAAAATATATGGTTAAAATTAATTATTGACTTTAGCTTATATTAAAATTTTAATTTTAATTTCTACCAAACAGAGAAAATTTTTACATCTAAGGTAAGAGATTATCGTATACCTGCTGATGAATTCTTAACCTGAACTTGCAAACCTTAGTCTAAACAAAACAAAATCAATCAAGTATGAAAAACGTAATAGAGCTATGAACATAGCATGATGATGATAACAGGACATTATCAAGCTCTACAATTTAGTAGTTGAATTTGTTCACCAGATAAAGCACAGACTGGAAAGTAAGACTTCATTAACAACAAAAACTAATAATTACGTACGAATTACAATTTCACTCACAACTATATCTCACTTTCATTTTTAACAGATCTCCTATACATCGCGAGCAACGATAAGTTCGACCAATTGATCAGCATCTCCAATGTCAGATAGCAACGAGATGTCATCTTCTGCTGTAAAATTATATGGCTGTCCAATAGCTCTCAAAAGCTGGGAGACTTCAAACATGGTAGGTCTTTCTTTGGGAGCAGGCAGCACACAACTACAGGCAACCTTAAGAAACTGAAAAAGCTCATTATCCTGACCTTTCCCGACCAAGGACTTATCAATTGCATCGTGAAGGTCAGAGGTCCTAGAGAGCTCAGAAATCCACTCAACTAGATTTCCTTTGAAGCTTTCGGAGGCTTTAGCTACATAGGTCGCCTTCTCGCCTGTAACTAATTCGAGAAGTACTACCCCAAAACTGTAGACGTCCCCTTTGGGAGTGGCCAGCAGAGTTCTTGCATATTCAGGAGCAACATAACCCAAGTCCCCGAATTCACCATTCACAAAAGTACTCAAATGAGTGTCAATAGGATTCATGAGCCGAGCAAGCCCAAAATCGGATATTTTGGGTTCGTAATCCACGTCTAGTAAGATGCAGTTGGAACTTATATTTCGGTGAATAACACGTGGATTACAGCTGTGGTGGAGCCATGCAAATCCTTTCGCTGCCTGAATCCCAATTTTGAGCCGTAAAGGCCAATCCATAAGTTCACCACCATCTATTACAAGATGTAGCTTATCATGTAGACTACCATTTGGCATGTACTTGTAAACTAAAAGTCTTTCCTTCTTAGCCATACAAAAACCTAGAAGCGGAACCAAGTTGCGGTGTTTTATATTACCTAGAGTAGCCATCTCAGACACAAATTCTTTCTCCGAGTATTGAGTATCCTGCAGTCGCTTCACCATAAGGGAGGTGCCATCTTCAAGCACTGCCTTGTACATTGTCCCAGCTCTCCCTAACCCAATTATATTCTCTTTACTGAAGTCATTAGTCGCCTTCATGAGATCTCCTAATTTCATTTTAGAAACTGACTTCTCAAACATCGAAAGCTGAAATCAGGAAATGTGACTGTTAGTAATTCATTCCTTGTATGCAAAAGATAATTTAAAAAATGAAAATAAAAATCATGTATATAAGAAAGTGACACCAAAAGTATGAAGCTTGACAAATCATTTAGGGAAATTTGCATCCATGGTCCTCAAATTTAGACAAATAGAGTATATGGGTCCACAATCAATTTTGCTTTGGCATTTAGGTACTTCGATTTTCGGTGCAAGGATGCCCTGCTGGATGGGCACACTCAATTTTTCGTCATAAAATCACATGCTTTGAACCCAATGACTCATTTAAGGGTTATTTCATGTCAACCCACCACATTTCCCTTAAACTTTGTCAAAAAAGGAAAATGTAGCGCTAACCTTAAGGCCTTCGTCTTATCCCCCCTTTTAATTGTTTTTGAAGGAAATGGAGTTGGTTGACAAAATAACCCTCAAATAAACCATCATGTGCATTGTTCCACAGAAAAAGAAAATGATGGTTTCCATCCTATGGGGATCAACATGCACCAAAAATAAAAGTTCAGGGACCTAAAGGTTAAAAAATTATTTGGAGCTACGTGCTTTATTTTTTAAAGTGAGAGCTGAGCTACAAGTTTGCCAATGATTTATTATATGTCAAGAGCAAAATTTCCAATAAAATGTAAATCTATCTTGCCTTGATGCCTTTGACATCCTTGATACTCTTGGCCCATTTGTTGCCCAGAGGATCTTCTTCCTTCTTCTTTCTGGACACTTTACGCAAATAGAAGAACATGCCAAAGCCAACAGCAAAAGCTGCAAAAATCACCCCACCAACAGCCGCCCCGACAATGGCTGCACTATTAGTTTTCTTTGAAGAAACTCTGCAAGGGGGTAAAGGTTTGCCACATAGTCCTGCATTATTCCCATAGTTATCTGGCGGAACAGTAGCATTACTGAATTGTGGAACTTGGCCAGTCAATCGGTTGTTAGCCACGTTAAACGTTGTCATTCGAGAGAGTAGACCAATCTGAGCAGGGATTTCGCCTGACAACTGGTTGTTGTCAAGTTCAAGGATATTCAAATAAGTGCAATTTGCAAGATCGACAGGAATCTCTCCGGATAACTGGTTGGACGAGAGATCAAGGCTTGTCACATATTCAAGTAACTTAGAGATATTCCTAGGAATATTTCCATAAATCTTGTTATTAGAAAGATCTAAACCTGTCAAGGATGAACAACCTGCAACGCCAAGAGGAAACTCGCCCTTAAGTTCCATATCCCCAAGCTTTATATTCAAGACCTTGTTCTCGTCTGGATGCCAACAATCGATTCCAATAAAAGAACATATAAAACCTTCAGTCTTGTTATCGAAGTTCCATGTTGTGAGGTAGCCGTTCTGGTCTTCCAAAGAATCTTTTATAGATCTGAGGCAGTCAACATCACTTTGAACCGAGTAGGTAAGAGATCCTCTCGCAATCAACAAAAGAAAAATTCTAATAAGAGTTGAGTGAACTCTAAAGGCAAATGTCGCCCTCATGAAGACAGTAGTCATAATCCAAAAGAAAAAACCCGAGTATAAGAATCTACTGAAGATGTTGCTTGACACAGAGAATTGTTAATCGAAACACCAAGTAACAGTTGTCATTAGTTTGATCCCTGAAACAAATTCAAAATTCAATGAAACATATTTCAAACTCTACATGATATCCTAAAAAAATCTTGCCGCTGAGGAAACAAGATAAATAGGACACAGTTAACTGTCATCCCATAACTATGGCAACAATTAAAATGGAGATGCAGAGAAATCTAAACCGACAAATACTGCAAGGAGAACATAAGGACAAGACAAGGCAAGTTTGATATATAAATTTAACAAAGACGTTAAAACATCTCTATAAATACTTGATTGACTGGAGTTTCAATCAATGTAACACCAATCGAATAAAATTAATAGCATGTTAACTAATCAGTAACCTATTATAGAAGGACAATTAATCAATTGTTCAATTGAATTTACTCAATTTAACAACAGAAATCCCAAGCAAGTGAAAGTATAAACAAATAAATACTGATGAATAACATAGAAAGACAGGATACTAACAGCAGCAACCAAGAAACACCAAACGCCACGTGATTTTACAGAGAAAAGCAGAACATAGGAATATTCAATTCTCTTTCCTTCTCAAAAGTCATGAAATTAGCAAAGAAGAGATCAAAACCCGCTTTAGTTTGCCAGAGAAGCCCACCTCTGATACCACTAAATTCCATCAAAACCCTCAAAAGGGGTCCTAGAGTCAAGAACCTCTGATCATAATGTCCACATGAAATCAATAAATGAAGTCTTCGTTTAATATATAGAAAGCCACCAGCAGAAATTATTTAGTAACACACAAGAAAGAACTCAGAAATAAACATAAATAAATAGAATGTTCAGTTCAGAGTTCAGATAGAAACGACACGAGAGACGGGGAAACGGAAACTTACCAGGGGGTGTGAACGGTGGAATTTTAATGTCTAATGGGCAATTGGGAGAAGACTGGAATGATAACATAATAAATAATTTTAGTGGTCAAATAAATAATTTTTCAACACATTTTATCTTTATTTTTTTCCTTATGAATTTAACTGGTGGAGCTTGCAAACAAGTGGAAATGAAGACTTGACTTGGAAAAAGGAGAAAGAGACCAAAAGACTTGACTTCGATGCTCATTGGTGCTGCTGAAAAGCGTGTGAGAAGTCACAACGACTGACTTGAGACCTTTTTTTTACGTTTTATGCCCCCGTTCACACGGTTCATTGAGCCCCTATTTAATTTTTATTTTTTTTCAAACTCTTTTTTTCGTAGGATCATTTTCGTACGTTCATACAATAATATCTTCTATAGGTAAATTCAAAATTTCTTTCCCACTTTTCAACCTCACATTCTTCTAAAAACTATTCAAAATTCTCTTTTTAAAAATTTTTGGAGAGAAATCAAAATCGAAAACAATTTATTTAATAAAGGGTACGTTTGATTGCGCATGTTATCTATGGAAAATGGATTTTTTCCATCCAAATCTCTACTTTGTGTTGTTTGATTGATATTTTTTTTCCATAAAAACATTTTTCAAATGATCATATTTTTCACAAAATCAAGGAAAATATTTTCTCTAGGGAAGGCAGATTTTATTTTTCAGAGAATTCACATACTATCTCTCTCTCTCTTATTTATCCACTTTCTTTCATTCATTCACTAATAAAAAATGGACAAATATAATATTTTCTAAGTGGAAAAGTAAATCAATCAAATACATTTAATTAATAATTTATATACAAATAAGTTCTAGGTAATTCAATTGCCTAGAATTTATTTTCTTCTTATACAAATTTCATACTCGCAATCAAACGCACCCTAATAATAATAATGCAATAGAAAAAGTTTGAGATATAAATATGATAATGTGTAAATGTTATAAACATTTCATGCAATTAAAATGTAATCTAGTTATTAAAAATTGTATTGTGAATATATTTAACCAAATAGAAAAGGTGATTATACTCACACTTTTGTAAAATTGTGAAATAATTATTTAATCTTATCACATCGATCGTTTAATTATTTGTATGAAAGTTACGAACATAAATATCTAGTTTAATTATGCACTTTTCTTTTACTCTATACTATACAAATATTTAACAAAAATATATATTTAATTAGAAGTTCAATATCCTGAAGATTTTTATTACACTATTGTTTATTTAATTCCTTCAATTAATTTCAAAATGTTATTTTGGATGAGATCTTAAACTATTGTTTGTTAAATTCCTTCAATTAATTCCGAAATCATTAATTATGAGAACAAAACGTTTCTCATTTTTATTTAGGGAATGCTATTTTAAATGCAACAATACTTATTTACATCATGCCAACAACAAAGTTCTCCGATATAGTTGGTTATGGACAGAGCCTAATATTTTCATCTTATGATTTTGTTTTATAGTGCAATATATGTACAATCACTGCATACAGTGCACTAAGATGGACAATAACGAATGCTGAAAATACGTGCTTAGTTTGAAACCCTTATAAAATATCTTAAACAGTAATGGCTGATATTTATAATGCTATTTTTCGATTGTCATTTTGTTCGGACAATTTTCTTAACATTAGGGAAGGAATTAAGAAGCTAAAAATAGTAAAAATTAAATGCACCATTATATTATATAAATCATTGTACAAGACGATTTGAATCAAAAGTTTGAATAATTCACTTAGATACATTTACTTATCAAATATAATAACAATATCTAATAAACTAGCTCTAAATTCTCCACGAATTGCCATCCTTAAAAAAATAAAGAGGTTCATTGACATTATATTTGATAAATTTATAACATATCTGGAGTTTAATAACATTCGATTCCAAGATAAATCTCCCAAAGAAAAATACGAAAAATAATGAATATTGTCCCATGTGGAGGCATATACTGTTGGTGAGTATATCAATGTTTTAAAATTCGGCCCGAGTATGGACTCAACAAAGAGTAATAGTCAAAGGTCAAAATGTTCAACCGAGATCGAACCAAAGTCAAATTGGAGGTAATAAACAAACATTTATAAACATGTAAATTTTATTTTGACAACAATATATAATTAAATTTTCACACCACCAATTCAAAATAAATACAAATATGTCAAATGTATGTTTTTTAATATGAAGCTTATTAATTTTTAATTTTTTGGACTTAAAAACTTATTCCAATTTTACTAAATAATTTGTAAGATAAAAAAAATGTTTAGCAATCTATAGGAATTGAATAATTTGTTTTGTAGTCATGCACCATGTGGCCATAAATAATATTGAAAAAGTGTTCTTTATTGAAATTTGTCAATTCCATGTTAAAAGTGAATTGAAAAAGTGTACTTTATCGAAATTTATCAATTATATCCCACATTGAAAATTTATCAATTATATGACTCAAGAAATAGATATAAAATATCTTCATTGGGTAGGAAAATGGGTAAATTGGTTGCATCTCTCAGGTATAAATATAGTTTACTATATAAAAATTTTGTTTTAAAAAGTAAGTTTTGCAAACCTGTCCAATCATTAAAATCGAGACTGATTCCTGATTTCTAGTTTAAGCGATCGATTTTCCAGTTTATTTGACCCGTTTTTTTATTAAACGATAATTTATTATAATTGGATTGAATTTTGGTTTGATTCCAATTTTGCAGGTTGAATCAATCGGTCCAGTCTGATTTTAAAAACATCCGAGTATATACAAAGCAAATTGTAAAATTCCAAAAGAGATTTAGGTATCTTAAATATTGAAAATTGAGATATGTCAATAAGCTCCTGTTTGACAAACATTATTTGCGGAAAATAGAGTTTTGAATAGTAGTTTTTAAGAGAATATATGATTAAAAAATAAGAAAATATTTTGGGTTTTCGTGCAGAATATATATATATAATGTGTGGTTGAAAATGACTAAAAAAGAAAAAAGAGTTTGAAAATAATGATTGCCAAACACAGACTAAGTTATATCATCATTTATAGAGGAAATAAATGGAATCGACAAGAAAAAAATTGTTGATAATAATTTTGAATGTGATGTATTGCTTCATATTATAAATGATAACAAGGATATGAAGAAAATTCGTCTAAGAATACCAACGTATAAATAATTGACCAAATATAGTTATAGTAAAGTTTTTAGACCTATAGTTCAAACACTTAAATGTGTGCACTTACATAAAAAGTAAATCAGAAAAAATGAAATTGTAATATGTAATGTATGACCTTAACATAATGAATTTCCTAACGAATTATATAAATAGATAAATTATTCTATGGTGGATGCAATCACTGATAAATTCTTGAATGAATTAATATGCATGAAAAACATATAGTTCAAGTGATATTATTATAAGAGGAAATAAATATGTTTTGTACTTTTTTCTTCACTAAAGTTTTTTTCTCATTGAATTTTTTGACGAGATTTTAGTGAGACAACTTTTGGAGAGTTCAAAGAATATTGTACTATTTTTCATGGACTACGATTTTTCTCACATGATTTTTCCTAGTAAAGTTTTAACAGGTATATTCTTTATGTAATAAATGTTCATAACCTACAAGACATTTATCATCAAATTTATACTCTAATATATTACAAATTGTGTACGAGAATCCTAAAGATAACAATAATAAGATCATTTTTTATCAGATCATCATGTTACTAAAGGCATAGAAAAATTGATAAATATCTTGTTTGAAGATGATAATATTTGAACGCTGTAACAAGACGACATGGAATATAATTCACCAGAATCGGTTTATACTAGTTTTCGAAATATGGTGCATTGAAAACATTAGTGCACATATATAAATGGCTCGATAAAAGGACTTTCATTAATTGACACAAGAGAGGGTATTTGTGCTCTTTTTCTTTAATTTAGGTTTTGTTCTACTGGGGGTTTTCAGACAAGGTTTAAATAAGGTAACATTTTCTTTAATATTCCAAAATTTTAACAATTAATTGTATTGTTTTTCACTACGTTTGATTTTTTT